AACCTGACAGGGCCCATTATCTCAAAAAAGAGATGATGTATGCAAGTTAGCCCATTATTTCTAGGACCATTCATCCATCCTTATACCACCCTTCCTGTAAGGATGAATATAAGAGAACACAGGTAAGAAAATTACCTCTGAGTTATTGCCAGGTAATCAGTGTGCATATGATGGTCATTGGGTAAGGAAAAAAGCATACAGTGATTGTCTTTCCTTGTCCTATTAACAAGACTATACACCATAATTATAGAAATATTTTTTCTCAAATACATTTACATGCTTAACAACAGTTGGATGAATTTAAATGCGTGTGTGTGTGTGTGTGTGTGTGTGTGAGAGAGATGTGGTACTTAATTTGCTTTCATCTATTTTCCCTGCTACCATGTAACTTTAAAACCTTATTTTAAAATAAAAACTGGAGGGACATTCTAAAAGAATCTGATTTCCTACTACTTTAGTGTATCAGTTACCACCTGAAGGTTTCTAACTTAGCTTTGTTGTAGAGTAGGCTTCCCTATAAACAGGATCCCGACTGAGATGACAAGTACTGCCATTGTGAGAAGCTGACTGGCCATAAAAAGACATAATTAGAAATATTCCCCTCCACTTTAGCAAAGGCAGCCAGGTTTAATTCCTATAATCACCAGCAAAATGCTCCTTTTAGAATGAGGCAAAGATAGTACAGAATAAGGAAGACAATGACAAGGCAGTGCCCCTGCATTGGAACAATTATTGTAAATATTTATTTTATACCTCTTCAAAAGCAGATACCCTTCATTTTAACTAGAAATGATCTTTCCTTCATTTTCCCTCTTTCTACTCCTTTTCCCTTTTAGTAAGTACAGATATATCTCAGTGTCTTTGCCACATTAGAAGAATCTTACAGGGAAGAAAGGAAAGAGAAAAAAAAAAAAAACAAAAAACTTCTATCTTGATCTTTCTATAGATTCCTATCACAACAAGCATAAAATATCCTCAAGTCAGCTAGGAATCATATTATATCCCTGATTTATAAAAATCATTAATCTGATCCCCCCAGAAAAGAAAGCAACTTTCCACTTTGTGGAAATTAAAGTTTTGATGCCACAGAGCACAGATATCATAATTTACTTAGGGAAAATACTATTCATATTATCAAATTAGAATTAACAGCAATAATTCTCAAGAGAAAATCTTCAGTCTCTTCTCAAAATAGTAACTAACCATTGGTTTATATTTTACAGTTTTGGTTCGTAGTGCAGCTTTTGATTAAAAAACAGCTCATAAACCTGCTATAATAATCATACCTGCTTTGCATTTATAACTTAGTGGACACCTTAAATGTAATAAACCAGCAACAGGTATAGATAGCATGAGTGAGTATATTTCCAATCCATGTCCAAACTTCTAGTATTTACAAGAAACCTATCTTCAAGATATGCAAACACAGATCTAGTTAAAGTCTGGAAACAATCCAACAAGCAGATGGTAACTTTAAAAAAGTCAGGAACATATTAAGGCCAAATAAAATAAACTTCCACTACCAAAAAAAAAAAAAGTAATAATAGAGATAAAGATGAACATTATACTAAGACTAAGGGCTTAATAAAATAAGAATAAATAACACCTATCTATATACTGATTGAGGTAAAGAATAAACACTGGTTGATTAATGAATATGGAGTTTCCTTTGGAGTAATTAAATTTTTTTGATAGTTAGAAGAAGGAAATGAAAAGTATTATGTCTCTTACTTCAATCAAACACTAAAACTGATTAAGCTTACTGAGGAAGCAATGTTGAGAGACAAAAGTTGAAGTCAAATCAACATCTTGACTTCTTTCAACAAATAGTGAGACAGGTCGTGCATACAAAGAAAAAGTTTGAAGGGAATGTGAGGTGCCATTATAGTAACACATAAATGATAATGGTAAAAAGTGCTTTATTGCTGTATGGATAAAGTTTTAGTTATCTGGACAGAAGAACAAACCAACTACAATGTTCTCTTGAGTCAAAGCCTAGTGTAGAGGAAGACACTCATTTTATTCAAAACTCTGAAGGCTGAAAGTTAAGAAACTATAGAACAAAAAATATGAAATCAGCAGGTTTGTTTTTGATGTTTAAGGAAAGCATGAAAGCATAAAAGTTCAAGTTGAAGCAGCAATTGTTGAAGCTGAATCCATTTGCCCATAAGCTCATAAATTTCAATACAGATAACAGTTTTACATTAGATACTTATGTTAGAAGATGACATTCAATTAAATGAAGACAGTGCTTGACTGCTATAGTCAGGGCAACTGACTTTTATATCAGGGGACAAAGAAGATGGTGACTTTAATCTAAATACTTATTCAAAAATAAAATAATCCTATGGCTTAAGGCCCAACTATCCTAAAACCTTTAATGATTATGATCAACCAAATCTTCCTGTGCCCATAAATGGAAGGGGAAAAAAATAACCTGGATGGTAGCATATCTGTGCACATGATTTGATAAATATTTTAAGCCCACCTACTGCTCAAAAAAATATTCTTTGCAAAGTCAGTACTGCTCATTGACAATGAATCTGATCATCCAAGAGTTCTGATGGGGATATGCAAGGAGAAGAATCTTATTTTTATGTCTGCAAATATAACAGCCCACAGATCAAAGAATCATTTCAACTTTCAAGTATTACTGTTGAGGTAACACATTTTTATGACTATAGCTGTCAAAGATAGTGATTCCTATGATGAATCTGATTAGAGGAAATTGAAAAAAAAAAATCTGGAAAAATGCCACCATTCTAACCACCTTTAAGATTCTTATGATTCACAGGAGGAGGTCAAAATGTCAACACTAATATTCCAATTGAAGTTACTAAATACTCGCTGATGACTCTGAGGGTTTCAAGACTTCACTGGAGGAAATAACTGAAGATGAGGTGGAAACTGCAAGACAACTGGAATTAGAAGTGGTGAATGAATGTGTGAAAGAATTGTTGTAATTTCATGATAAAACCTAATAGACCAGGTATTACATATTATATAGGAAAGTGATTTAAGAGACTAGATTCCAGTTTTGTAAAAAGCTCTGGTGTATATAATATGCTATTAAAATAATGGCAAGCTGTAAAGAAGTCTTTTGTAAAGCAGAGTCAATTTCAACTATTTTCAAAGCTACCCAGATTCAGTCAGCAACTACCACCCGATAAGGAAAAGAATATTACTTTCCGAAGTCTTAGATTTTTTTTAAGCACAATGTATTTTTTAATTTAGTTATGTCCAACATTTTATAAACAATTAATTGCGGCACACAATACACTACAATATAGTGTGAAGACAACTTTTACAATATACTGGGAAAACAAAATATCAAGTGACTTTAAGGTTCTTAAAGTCACAATATCTCTGGCACGTTAAAGTATACATTATGATTTTGATGTACAGTTTAAGAAGTTTTTTCCTTAGTCCGACATCCCAGAGATTTTTCTGATCCTTTTTTTCCCCCTGCATACTTCAAATTTGTTTTAAATTTAATCCACAGTTCATTTTGAGTTTTGCAGTGAGTGCAATGCTTTTTTGTTCCTTTGTTTTACCAATGAATGTCCAATTGCTCTAGTGATATTTGTTGAAATTCATACATCTTTCCCAATGATGATTCTGCACCTTTCTCAAAAATAAGTTAGGCATATTTGTGTGGATTTATTTAGGGGACCTGTATTTGGTTTCATTGGTCTGTATGTCTATCCATCTGTCATTTTCACAGAAGGCTATTTCACAGTAATGTTGGTGATTCAAAAATATATTTGTATTAACATTTATTTTCAATTTATGATGGATCAGTTGCTATTAACTTTAAAAATATGTGGACAAATAACCTAATTTTGAAATATTTTTGGAAATTAACCTCATTACTTGCTCCACTTTCAGAATTTTCTACAAACACAAGACTTATTCTCAAATACAACCAATGAATCCATTGACTATAACACGAATGAATCTTTCCCAAAGTTGCAATATTTTTGTTTATAACAATATCTTTTTTTAGAATCACAAGTGATTTCTAGAATCTCACTTAAGATAACAGAATAGAAGAAAAAAGACCAAGATTTATAAGAGAAAAAAATGACATGACTTTGCTTCTAATCACCCTGGAATATTCAGTGTAAATTAATTAATTTAAGTTAAAAAAACATAAGCTCATCCATAAACTTAGAAATGCATATTTCAAAAGATTAAAGCCATCAAATAGACAGCCTATGAACTGTGAAATTTCATGAGTTCAAAGGCTTTCAACCCATTACATGAGTCTTCCTGCCTTAAGTCTATAAATTTTTATTGTCCATCTTAAAGCACATAAAACTTTCTTGAATGGTTTCCAATCACTTATTCACTACAAAAACTTATCTGCTGAATTGCTTTTTCAACATTTACTTTGCTTTTCAACAGTGCAAATTATATGTAAGTATAAAATACTCAACAACCATAAAGATCACTCTTATTGTGCCTAAATCTGACATAGAAAAATGAAACACTAATTGCAATTAGATAGTTTATTCTTTTCAGAATAACCTTAAGACTTGCCCCACTTTCAGAATTTTGTACCGTCACAAGACTTATTCTCAAATGCCATCAAAGAATCTATTGACCATAACATGAATCAATCCTTCCCCAATGTATACAATGACACTCAAAGCACATTTTTTGGAAACTCCCTAATCTACACCTACCTGGACATATAATTTCACAATAAGAATCAACTGAAATTGCATAAGCTTCTATTTAATGTATTTGCAAAACCCTGCTCTCTTCTCTAAAAAAAAAAAAAAAATGGAGTTGGGTCAGCACAGAATGGCAGTCAGTACTAGTAGCACAGATAGGGATGTTCCCAAAACTCTCTCATCCAGTATTGGTCATCAGTGTTCCCTAAAACTACTGGACAAGCCATATTTCCTCCACATAAGTAGATGACCAAGTAAAGCTAGGAAACACTATCAGGATATATCACAAAGTATAGTTTTCAAAAAAGATCACTACTTTACCTGTTTGACGTCATATGCCAGAAGAACATATTTTAAATCTGGTGAAACTGAATGTCTTGATGCTTTAAAAGTTACCTAGAATTAAAAAGAAACAATTATCTTTACCAAAAAAAAACATAAAAGCAGAGATTAATTTGGACATATATATATATATATATATATCAAAGATCTCAATTTCAACATACTATGAAAAAAATAATTTCTAATTCATATTCTAAATATGCATATGATACTTATATATGTATATATATGTATACACACACACATACATATATATACACACAAGTAGGTGTGATTATAAAGACAAATATTAAAATTTGGAAATGTTATATTCAAAGTTATGTTAAGAAAAAAGTTCATTTGAAAGCCAGGAATCACATGGAAAAATGCACAGCATTGTGCAAGTATAAACCTAAACCATCTACATAATATCATATCATTATCCAGGAAATGTAACCACAAGGAAACACTACCCTCACAGCTGTGAGAATGACGCATACCAAAATGACCAGTAGCAAATGTGGATGAGGGCGTGTAGAAAGAGGAACCATTGCACACTTTTGGTGGGGAAGTGACTCATTAATTCCTTAAGGAAAATTCCATACTTGGGAGTGATCTCAAAATATTAAGAATAGATCTATTATATGATATAGCAACTCAACTACTAGGTATTCACCTGAAGAACATAAAAACATTAACTCAAAGGAACTACCCACTATCACGTTCATTGTAGTGCAATGTACAATAGGCAGGCTATAGTAACAACCTAAATATCCAAGGACAGCTGAGTGAATTAAGAAGCTGTGACGGGCCCTCCCTGGTGGCGCAGCAGGTTAAAGCACAGCACTGAGAATATAAAGTCACTTCCACATGAGTTCTATTCCCGCCTGCCCCGGAGTTGACCACATGGCTTGGCAGACCTCTCCTGACCCGCCCGCTGCTCCCCTCAGCAGTGTACTTCGTCGATCCGCCTGTTCTGCTCCCCACTCTGTCTCTGGTGAAGCCTCTCACCCTCCGCATCTCTGGCCTGTACCCCAGTTCTGTATGAATAAATAAATAAATCTTTAAAAAAAAAAAAGAAGAAGAAGAAGAAGAAGAAGAAGCTGTGACAACTTTTGCTACATAATTCAGCTATTAAAAAAAAAAAAAAGTGGCCCTCCCTGGTAGCCCAACGGGTTAGGGCACAGCATTGTAAGCTAGTCACAGGAGTTCGGTGCAAGTTCAAGCCCCAGCCCAAAAGTGATCCACATGGCACAGCAGACCTCTTCTGTTTGCCTGCTGTTCTCCTCAACAGTGTACTTCCACGATCTGCCTGTTCTGCCCTAAGCTCTGTCTCATGAGTTCTCTTATCACCCCTGTATCTCTGGCCTGTACCCCAGTTCTGTATGCATAAATAAAAAATCTTTAGGGCCCTCTTTGCTGGTGCAGTGGGTGGAGCACTGCACTGTGAGCTAAGGTAAGCCAAGCAAACCTGGGCCACTTCAGTGCCAGTTGGATCCCTGGCCCCAGAGGTGACCCACATGGTGTGTAGACCTCTCCTGTCGTATCAGCTGCTCCTCTCAGCAGTGTACTTTGTATCTGCCTATTCTGTTCCCCACTCTGTTTCTGGTAAATCCTCTCACAACCCTTGCACTGCTGGCCTGTACCCCATTTCTGTATGCAGAGATAAATAAAAATCTTAAAAATAAATAAATAAATAAATAAATCTTTTTTAAAAAGATGAATGGTTGACATTTGGAACAACTGGATAGAACTGGAGGTGGTAAATCCTAAGTGAAATAAATCAGGAGACGAAAGACAAATATTGGATGGACTTAATCATATATAGAATATAAAAAGGGCTGGATAAAACAAACAAAAATGAACTCTAGAAACATGACTGAAAATTGAGAATACCTTAGGGAGGGGTAGTAAGATGAAAGGGGGAAGAAGATTCTATAGACTTTGCTGGATGTTTATGGGTGTCTATGTTTTATATATGATGTGGTAATAAAAATCTGAAGATGTATGAATCTGTACATCTGAATCACAGATGGCAATGTAATCCAATGTTACCTCAACTAAAAAAGAAAAAATGTAAGTCATAGTAACATTAAAAGAAAAAAATATCTGGCAGCATACAGTTCTACCTATGACCACTGAAAGACTAAGCTCACTTTTTCATTACAAGAGATAAAAGCAACAAAAATTCACTGAATTATTTTAAAACATTGTTAAACATTATTTAGTTTTCACAGTATAGGATCTTTCTACTCAGAGGAAGTCACCATATTTTCCCTACCACCAGAGTGCTCATAATCCCCCACCAACCACCATTTCACTATGTTTCCACCCCACACTGCTCTCTTAATGATAGTTTCAGATCTATAGTCTGCTTTCAAGGGCCACTCTTACAGTGTCTCTTTGCCTGATCCTTTGCTTGGTTTCTCTAGATTCCATATATAAGTTTAACTATTTGGTATGTCTCTTTTAAGAACACTGCTTTTATATTTTCTTGATACGTTAATCAAAAGAAAAAGAAACTGATATTTTGTGGTGTCATGATTTTCTATCACTGTACTTTTGTTTTCTTACAGGCTTTATATTAGTATTTAAAGGACACATTAAGGACAAAATTTCTTCAAAGGAAATTCCCAGTGTGAAATATACTGAAGTACAAACATACATTTGACTATAAATATGTAATATATACATGCACACACACACACACATACACACCCATATGTAGTAGATTTTGACTCTCCACCTTTATCTTTGACTAGACCTGATGTTGGAAAGAAATGAAAATAAAATGGAGGAGAAATACATTAGAATAGAAAGATGATTTTATTGAAAGACAGACTATATTTAATCTCATATTTAAAGATAAGGTGAGCAAACAGAAAATGATGAAGCCATTTTCTTTTTAGTTAGGAACCCCACACATAATGTAAAGTATAAGAAACCCAGACTAATCAATGTTTGGCAAAATATGTGTGGTTATATGTGTGTGTGTGTCTGTGTGTTAGCTTGAATCTCCTGGATCCTAGCACAGAGCTTTTAAAATTTTGGGAATTCCCTGATTGTAGAATTGTCTTTTGCTGCAAATAACTAGTATCTTTGCTCACAAAGATGTGTGTGAATGAGAAGACTTAGGGTGGGAACTAGAGAAGAGGGACCAGAAAAGTTATGAATGGGGATCAAAAAAATCAACCACCTGTGTACCTGAAGAGAGGATTAGAACTTCCAACCTTATCTGGAGGTCAGAATGGATGGAAGGGATGGAGAAGGAGTTTGATAAATTATATAATAGAAAAAAAGTATGCAGGTAAATATCCTCATTCTTTTTCATTTTCTCTAGATAAAAATCTTTGAATGATGAGCTTTAAATGAAGTCTCTTGTCAATAATATTTATGTATCAGGAGGGTAACATGCCAAAATTTTTCAAAGACAAAGGTTAAGCTTGGACCTTCTGATGTCTTCTATTTATCCCCATTTGTTGCCTTTGTAATAGACCGATGATCAGAAGTGTAGCACTTTCAATGTAAAAAGTAAATTATCAAACTTGAAAGGGGGTTATGGGAACCATAAAATTTGTAGCCATGTTGGACAGAAATGCAAGCCACAGGGAACACAGGAATTAGAACTGAAGTGGGGGCAATCATTGAGTTTTTAACCTGTAGGCATTGCACAAAATCTGGGTAGTTAGTGTCAGAATTTAATTGAAATGTAGATTATCGAGTTGGTAGCAAGTAACTGTTGGATTAGCACAGTTTGTAATCGTCACCAAAATGAGCCAAGAGAATGTTACGATCTTGGACAACAAGCTTACATGGTAATGCTATGATCAGCAGCTTTTTTTCCTACATCCTTCCTTCTTTTGCAATTCGTGTCTAGGAACACTTCAGAAGGTCAGGATAATCATTAGCAGAAATCCATTTTAAGAAACCCGGTCTATTAATTTCTTTAACAGATTTCAGTAACAATGGCAGCAACAAACAGTAGCAGTAGCAGTAGCAATTGAACAACCACTGATCTACCATCTATCATAAACTGTAAATTGTTTAGAACTTTTAGTTTTCAACAATCCTCACCCCTGTTCCTGACAACACTGTGAGGTATGCATTGTCATTGTTATATTTTCTTTTTTCTATCACTGATTGATGTATTTCAACTTGATAGAAACTAGTTTGTGGAGGCTTGGGTGGGGGGAGAAATTAACCCGTGGGGAATTAAGGGTGACACACAAAGTCATCTCCTTATCATTATAGTAGCAGGAGGTGTATTATTGCACAGTAAGGGGAGATTTTCTGTTATTTGAAAATTGGTTAAGAGGGTAATACCATCATCTCCTGCTTTTAGGGATTAGAAAAATTCTAATACCACAGCTCTTAAACTTTTCTCAAAGTCACAGAGGACCAGCATAACAGAAGAAAACAGGAGAATGTGCTTTCATAAACTGTGCATTATCTCAGCAGCAGGACTGTTTCTTTTTTCTTTTTCTTATTTGTTTGTTTGTTTGTTTGTTTGTGTTTTTTCTTAAAGAAAGCTTCCTAGTTTAAAGCCTGAATTATTTAAAGAAAAAACCTCACTTCTCTTGTTCCCCTCCACTCTCATGTGATGTTCCTTTCCCAAATTAACTTCACACGTTCACAGGTATGTCTGTGCCTCTGGTAACAACAGTTTAGTATCTTTTACAGTTCCTACAATTATCCAGTCTGGCACTTTATTAATTATCACTTATAGTGCCTCCAGCTTATGCAGCATGAAAACTGGGAAACTTTCCAAGTACCTTTTCAGGAGCCCAAGCTGCTGAACCTTCTCTGAATTTAGAGTTGTATTCAGGTAACTGGTGCTGCAAAAAGACTTGCTGATGATACATGTGTAAGAACACAGTCTTACAGCTTAGTTCAGGGACTACGGAATTCTCAGGCAAATTCTTCTTAGTGTAAGCCTTTAATGTTATCATCTGTTACATCTGGGAGATTAATTCTTCCAAGCAGCCACAGGAGACCCTTCAGTCTACAGTGACCCTATTTATAGGCATTAATATAGTTCTGGTTGAATCACAACCTGATATGGCTTCAAATTAGTG